AGAGAGAGAGAGAGAGAGAGAGAGAGAGAGAGAGAGAGAGAGAGAGAAGAGGGGCTGAGTCCCATTTGCCTGGATGGTTCCTGTGAATGTTGGTTTCGTGTCCAGGAACTTAGAGAGGGTCATATATCTTCATCATTTGTCAAATGACATACTTCCCACTTTTTAAAAGATGGTCTGGGGCCAAACATGGTGGTGCACACCTTCAATCCCAGCACCTGGGAGGCAGAGGCAGGGGCAGGGGCAGGGGCAGGGGCAGGGGCAGAGGCAGAGAGACAGAGGCAGAGACAGAGGCAGAGAGACAGAGGCAGAGAGACAAAGGCAGAGAGGCAGAGGCAGAGAGACAGGGGAAAAGGCAGAGAGACAGAGGGAGAGAGGCAGGCAGAGGCAGGGGCAGGGGCAGGGGGAGGGGCAGGGGCAGGGGCAGGTGGATCTGTGAGTTTGAGGTGAGACTCATCTACACAGTGGGTTCCAGGACAGCCAGGGCTAAACAGTTGAGACCTTGTCTCAAACAAAACACACACACACACACACACACACACACACACACACACAAAGTCACCTAAAAACATTAAAAGGAAATCGAATCTATTCAAATGGTAACTAAACAGATTCCAATCTGGACAGAACAATGTTAAGGAAAAAGAGGATGTCCCAGCTCGGATGTGGCTCAATGGGATGCTTGCCTGGCATGCGTGGAGTCATGGCTTCTATCCCTAGCACTGAATCGCCCAGGTGTCATGGTACATGCCTGTGAGCCCAGCACTCTGGAGGTGAGGGTAGGGAGAAGTTCAAGGTCATAGTTAGAGACCAGCCTGGGCTATGAGACCTGGTCTCAATCAAACAAACAAACAAACAAACTCCAAACAACAAAACAAAGAAACCAGCTCCTCAGATCAGAGGTTAAGCCAACAGAACGGATGGTTACAGAGGTGAATCGGAGGATTCTCCCTGCCCTGCTGCTGAGAATAAATGCCTGCGACCCAGGTGCAGCTCAGACTGGCTAGACCCTCCAGCTCCTGTTCTCAGCATCTCCCTGTGCTATAGATCTGAGCTTCAGAGAACACAGAATCTTAACAAAGGTGGTCAGCTGCTCTTTGTGGAGGGACGAGGAAGGAGGGAGGCCAGAGTTCCCTCCTGAAATTCCATCCTGCTTTGCTCTGAAAGCACTCTGTATTCTCTGGGATAAAGGTGCAGACAGATAAAAGCTTGGCTGGCTTGCCGCTCTTTGTTCAGCCTCCAGCCTGAGTGACTGGGGCCTTCAGTTTAAGGATGTCTGTTTCTGACAGGAGAAGGTCCGTTCAGTGTCCTAGCAGGTTGCTATGGGCCAGAACTAGACACCAATTTCCGATGAGAAGTGACTGAGGACAGCTTCCCATGCTGGGGGAGGAGGAGCTTACTCCCGACGGGGAGGTCACCACCCTCTGAAGTGACCCAGTCTCTACCAGGTAGAGTGTTTTAGTCCCGTGTCCCTGTCTCAACCCCCCCCCCCCCCAAACAACAACAACAAAAAGGAAGTCCCGTGTCAGGGGCTGGAGAGATGGGTGAGCAGTTAAGAACTCTTCCAGAGAACCAGGGCTGGGTTCCCAGCTCCCACATGACAGCTCACAACCACTTGTAATTCTAGTCTCAGAGGATTTGAAGCCTCTTCTGAGGTCCCCGAGCTCGGATGCACATGTATAATATA